TCATTTATATACACTAAATTTTACTTAAATTCACAGCAAATAATTTACTAAAAAAATAGAAAAAATTTATTAAAAAACATCCGACTCTTCTTGGATTAATAATCCACGTGTCCTCTGAATAGCTAAAGCATTAATTTTAGTGGTTGGAATGATAGTTCCGTTGTTTTGTCGTTTGAAATAGGCAACAGATGAAAGTGACTGCAACTAATGGATAATTCTTAAGTCTATGGCTTTAAAAACGTTTTGAAATTTATAGGCGAGAGCGAGAGGGTCACATAAATAACCAATTGTCATATGACATTAAGCATATGGATTGGATCTATCATGTCAGCGTCATCTTACATTTTTTTAGATATATATAAGTCTTGTCGATAATGTTTTATTAATCACGATATATTTTTATTTATTTAAAGTACATTTTCAATAACATGTACGTGTATTAAAGTATTATTTATGTAATACAATGCATATAAAACATTTTTTTTTTGTGAAATAGTAACCACACATTCTTTTACTTATTTTAATCAAGTGATGTAGTATTTTTGCAAAATTGACATTATTTGATTATTTATTCAGTGAACAGACCTACGATTGTGCTGTTCTTATGCAATTTCATTTTAAATTTTTTTAGTTAATTAATTAACAACTAAACGTGACATAATTCAATCTAATTTAATTCAGTATCGACTTAATGTTTTTTTTTTTTTTTGGTCTTCATTCATTAGACATACATCGCTAATCACAACATCGAAGTTGAAGTCCTCTGGTTGACTAGCCTACAGCGCTAATCACAACAACAAAGTTAAAGTCAATTTTTGACCGTTAGATATGTACAAATTGAATGAACCTTCGTCATCATTCAATATACTGGAGTCGGACACTCAAATCAACTTCGGGGTGTGTTTTATACACTTGGATTAAATTGTCAACTTTGTTCTACGTTTGTTTGTTGGATGCAATACACATACATATATATAATAAAATAACTTATAATTCAAATTTCAAAAGATAAACAAAATAATTTTTATTATTCACGGTTGACATCGTTTTAATTTTTATTTTAAAGTTAATTTAACGCCTAATATTAACACTCCAAAATTTAATAGAAAAAATAGACTGCTAAGGATGTGTTTGGAATGACTTTTTAAAAGTATTTTTAAAAATTATTTATCATAAATATTTTTAAAAAATAGTATTTAAAACCGTCTCACCCCTACCTCNTAATATACATATGTACATATGTTTGTGTATTATTTATGTAAATCATTACAAGGAGGAGTAAGGATCAAGCAAAACTCAGGTTCAACTATAAATAAAGAGCATAACTCCCAGCAATACACACAAGCCATTGTAACTAACAAGAACTTTGTAATCTCTTTTCTTATTGATAGAAGTTCCAAAAGCAAGAGATTCTCTTGAGAGTGGACTAGCCAAATTCCGGAACTGATGAATCACTATATATTCTTTGTGTGTTAACTTTCACTCGCTTGTCCCAAATCTTAAAGAGCCTAGGAGCTCAAATTGAATAACTCGGTGCTCATCAAATTCATATATATGTTCATTCGTGTCACATACACTATTATCACTTATAAATTTTCAGAATTAAATGAATTTAAATTCTTGCGAATACTTTTATTTTCTTTAAAAGATGATCTACCATTAACCAGCGAATGTTTTCATTTATATACACTAAATTTTACTTAAATTCACAGCAAATAATTTACTAAAAAAATAGAAAAAATTTATTAAAAAACATCCGACTCTTCTTGGATTAATAATCCACGTATCCTCTGAATAGCTAAAGCATTAATTTTAGTGGTTGGAATGATAGTTCCGTTGTTTTGTCGTTTGAAATAGGCAACAGATGAAAGTGACTGCAACTAATGGATAATTCTTAAGTCTATGGCTTTAAAAACGTTTTGAAATTTATAGGCGAGAGCGAGAGGGTCACATAAATAACCAATTGTCATATGACATTAAGCATATGGATTGGATCTATCATGTCAGCGTCATCTTACATTTTTTTAGATATATATAAGTCTTGTCGATAATGTTTTATTAATCACGATATATTTTTATTTATTTAAAGTACATTTTCAATAACATGTACGTGTATTAAAGTATTATTTATGTAATACAATGCATATAAAACATTTTTTTTTTGTGAAATAGTAACCACACATTCTTTTACTTATTTTAATCAAGTGATGTAGTATTTTTTCAAAATTGACATTATTTGATTATTTATTCAGTGAACAGACCTACGATTGTGCTGTTCTTATGCAATTTCATTTTAAATTTTTTTAGTTAATTAATTAACAACTAAACGTGACATAATTCAATCTAATTTAATTCAGTACCGACTTAATGTTTTTTTTTTTTTTTGGTCTTCATTCATTAGACATACATCGCTAATCACAACATCGAAGTTGAAGTCCTCTGGTTGACTAGCCTACAGCGCTAATCACAACAACAAAGTTAAAGTCAATTTTTGACCGTTAGATATGTACAAATTGAATGAACCTTCGTCATCATTCAATATACTGGAGTCGGACACTCAAATCAACTTCGGGGTGTGTTTTATACACTTGGATTAAATTGTCAACTTTGTTCTACGTTTGTTTGTTGGATGCAATACACATACATATATATAATAAAATAACTTATAATTCAAATTTCAAAAGATAAACAANCGGATGCAATACACGTACATATATATAATAAAATAACTTACAATTCAAATTTCAAAAGATAAACAAAATGATTTGTATTATTCACGATTAACATCGTTTTAATTTTTATTTTAAAGTTAATTTAACGCCTAATATTAACACTCCAAAATTTAATAGGAAAAATAGACTGCTAAGGATGTGTTTGGAATGACTTTTTAAAAGTATTTTTAAAAATTATTTATCATAAGTATTTTTAAAAAATAGTATTTGAAACCGTCTCACCCCTACCTTTACCGCCACCACTGCCACTGTCGCCGTTGCCACCATTACCACCGCCACTACCATCGTCGTCGTCGCCATCGCCACCACCACTACCATCATCACCACCACCATCGTCGTCGTCGTCACCACCGCCCCCACCATCGCCACCTCTACCACCACCACTGCCCTCACCTCCACCACGGTTATTGCCACTTACCACAACCATCACCGTCTCCTACCACCACCAATGCTGCCCACCACCTCTTACCCCACTACAAATCGATGCTTAAATTCTTTTATATCTTGTCTATGTTTGTGATTTGATTTTGGATATGAATACAAATATGTTTATTGTTTATCATTTTTTAATACTTTGTGCCTTCAGGTACAAACAATAACTAATATATAATAAGACAACTCACAACTTGAATTTTATCCCTTATATATTTTTTCTCCAAATAATATCACATCACTCATTTTTATCATATGCTGAATTATTTTAATATTTAATTAATTTATGATTGAATATAATTTTTATTTTAAATATTATTCATCACTATAATACTANTTTTGTGCCTTCATGTACAGACAATAACTAATATATAATAAAACAACTCACAACTTGAATTTTATCCCTTATATATTTTTTCTCCAAACAATATCACATCACTTATTTTTATCACATGCTGAATTATTTTAATATTTAATTAATTTATGATTGAATATAATTTTTATTTTAAATATTATTCATCACTATAATACTACCAACTGTATCTGATTCATAAGAATCAATAATGAAAACGAGTTCAAACCCATAACCACTAAAAAAGTGGAGGAAACTTTCATTCTCTACTGAAGCATAGCTGGCTACCACTTGGTTGGTCATTGCTATAATGCAATTCAAAACATCAAAATAAAAAGTCAAAATTTAACGGTCCAATGTGTACAAATTTAATGAAACTTCACCATCAACACATGGGTTGGTCACTTACCCAAAAAACACATGGATCGGTCTGTGAGATCAACATCAAGGTTTGTTTTGCATGGCAAGCTTATTTNAAAAAGAGGACGAAACTTTCATTCTCTACTGAAGCCTAGCTGGCTACCACTTGGTTGGTCATTGCTATAATGCAATTCAAAACATCAAAATAAAAAGTCAAAATTTGACGGTCCAATGTGTACAAATTTAATGAAACTTCACCATCAACACATGGGTTGGTCACTTACCCAAAAAACACATGGATCGGTCTGTGAGATCAACATCAAGGTTTGTTTTGCATGGCAAGCTTATTTTGAGATTAGATTGGATTGGATTATTTTAGTCTATATACATTTTCTTATATTTGAACTCACAATTCCATCGTTGTCAAAACAAAATTACTAATTCTGTACAATTCAAAACCAAAAAACAAAAAAAAATTTCAAACTTTATAATCAATTCGACCCTGAGTTAGATTTGTAATATTCGAATATCCAATCTAATTTTACGTTGTATAACCAATTTTATCCCCATTTTATTATGAGATAGATTTATGCATCCGCATGGTTCGAAGTGTACTATTCTTTNTCGTTGTCAAAACAAAATTACTAATTCCGTACAATTCAAAACCAAAAAACAAAAAAAAAATTCAAACATTATAATCAATTCGACCCTGAGTTAGATTTGTAATATTCGAATATCCAATCTAATTTTACGTTGTATAACCAATTTTATCCCCATTTTATTATGAGATAGATTTATGCATCAGCATGGTTCGAAGTGTACTATTCTTTTCCCTTTTTTTCCAACATTTTTTTTTATTTTTCTTTTTTAGGGGGAAAAGGAACCAAAGGAAAAAAAACGATGAAGTTAAAGTCCGCAATCACTCACTATTCATCCGGCCCGGGTAAGCCTAACGGCCTAAGCCTATCAGGCTTATTGAAATCCATACACGAAAAATGAGTAGTTCTGGTTCTCTTATCCCAGAATCAAACATCACAAATGCACAAAGCCAACAAAAATAGAATGACCATAATGCCCTTCGTGTCCAAAACAACGATGAAAATAGGAATGCTTCATCTTATTGATCATGGTCCCTGTAATTAAATAAGTAATTATAAGAAACCGAAAAAAAAAAAACTTAATAAATAATTTTCGAAGTCAACAAATAATTACTTTTATTTCTTTACCACCCTACCTAAACATATATAATGTAATTCCCGTAGTAAATATTTACACCTGTATCCAAGACAAATGAGGGAATGCCAATGGTGTCCCGTCGCNCTTTACCACCCTACCTAAACGTGTATAATGTAATTCCCGTAGTAAATATTTACACCTGTATCCAAGACAAATGAGGGAATGCCAATGGTGTCCCGTCGCTTATACACCATCCACCACCACTCTGATTTTACTTGGTAACCAATCTCCATTGCTCCGGCTGTCCCAGTCGGCATCAGTGTCGGCGTCGGCATCGACCTCGAGACGAATGACCATAGATTCATCGGATGAAGCAAGAACACTGCCGGGTAGGAGTGCTTTTAGTTGATGGAAGCTTGGAACTAAGACTTTCTCTGCCCACTTTGTTAGACTGGTTTGGCCATGCCATACTCCACCAAGGATCTTCTCAACACTATTATCTTCTACTTCTATCGAGAGCTTGTCGTTAATAACCGCCAAGAAACTCTTTGTGATCGTCTTTTTGATCTCGCAGCTAATAGAGCCAAAATCAACAGGACTGAACACTACAGTTCCGTCAACAGAATTGGCCAGCTCACGAGGGACTGATGCTATGGCAAATCGACTATTTTCAAGGCCAAGTTCATCTTCATGGTCCATGGTGAGTCCACTTGAATTGAGAGATCCATCTGTTCTATAATCCTCGGTATCTGCTGCTTCGTTAAGATCAAATGACAGGCTAGTACCCATTTCTCTCCTAGGCCTTGTTGATCTGTCTTCTTCATCATGAAGCCAATTGGCTCGGCGTTTTGTGCTTTTGTTACCCATGGTTAGCCTTAACTGCCAACTGCCACTTGCTGAAGTGGCAAGATTCTTTTCATTGAGAAAATGCTGATTCCCTAGATTTTTGGACTCCACCGGTGACCAATTTCCAGCAAGTATGAATATAATGTTACCAAGACTTATCTCGCGGCCATGAGAATCAGTAATCCTGCCTCTCTCCATTGCCCGTTTTATGCTCCCACGAACCAGCATATCCGCTTCATCAATGTCCTCCAGCATAATTACTGAAAAAGGGTTTCTCCTGATTGCCTCTACAATCCGATCCAAGGCTGTTTTACCACGGATACTAACATCTGATTCACCATGACCACGTCGTGAGCCAATATATATGATAATTGGACTGGCTCCACATACATGCTCTGAAAGGACTGATGCCATCTTCTTCATTCCCATCCTGTCAGGACCCGTAAATAATAGCCAAGTATCACCTTTTGATCCAGTAGTACGCCGTTTTCCATTGCCCAATTTGCACTGTGTCACGGTTGTCGCCACATTGGAAGCTGCTTCTGATTGCCACCAAGCTTTCTCCATTAGACCCTTGAGGAGCTTCTTAAATGAGTCGGCATCTAAAGCCTTAGCAAACTTGAGGCTCTCCATTAGACTTTTAGTCTGTGGTTCAGAAGACATGCAGCCCAAAAAGTCTTTAACGTGCTCTTTAGGTGTTTTTTCAGGGATGGCTTCAGCAACTTTTGTTTGTCCAAGAACGAGGTCTGTCCTCACAGGGCTTCCTGGAAGGCTACCAACATGCTCAGAAGGTTGACTGCTCGTTTGACTCGAGTTCAATTGTAGAGTTTCACCAAGGTGTCTGGGTGGTTGTAACTTGGGCTGGAGAGATCGATGCATAAGCAGGTTTGGATTATACAAGCCTGGCATTGAAAGAGTTCTTGAAGAAATTCTCTCAGAGCTGAGGTTATGATGAAAATTAGGATGTAGAGTCGGGCATTTTTCGTTCCATTTCTTCTGCAAATCTTGAGACTTCTGTTTGAAAAGCAATTCTTGCTCCTTGCACTGTAAACACAGAAATCCAGTGTTCATTGTCTATATTCATATATAATCTGACCCAACATAAAGTACTTCGCAACAACATACCTTCGTCTGATCTGATGTTTTAACAGCAGTACTATTGAGTTTGGCATTTTGCAACCACTGAGGTAGGGGTATTTTAGCTGCTTCTGATTTTACTTCAGAGGATGACTTTTCAAACTCGGCTACAAGTTCTGCTAGCTCTTGTTCATAAGTCTCTGAACATTGTAGGCAACAGTTCACTCTGCGAACATGATCCACGTTGTCAGAAACCCGCCGTGGAAAAGCAGGTGTCGCAGTTGTGAAGCTCTTCAATGGGTGCAAAGACTGAACTGAAGGGCTCATAGTCCCATTCGTCCCCAATCTACAGAGAAACAGTAAAGTTACTGAATGGTACCAAAATAGCAAAAGAACAAACTATTTCGCCTGAAGCTGAACAGTGTTTGATAAACAATAACCAAATCTCCCACTACGGAGGCAGAAAATTACACAATTGTGACCAAAAACACAACTAGAAATGGAAAGGGAAATACCTTCCCAGTATCAAGATATATACTTTAACTTCATCACTCTTCAGCCAAAAAGAAAAAAAGACGAGAGAGAGAGAGAAATAGTAGCTGATATTGGTGATGCCAATTTGAGAAGAGAAGAACCATCTATGCCTTGTACCAAATTAACAGAAATTTCTAAAGCTGGATCAACTATAAATGCATATAACAAATACAAACGAATTTTGGATCCTCTCTTGTACCTATATATCATCCAGTATCAGATCCTCTAAGTCTAGCAAACTGATGAGAAATGTCAATTCGAATCTGTAGAAGAGTGACTTTGTAAAGAACAATTCCAAAAGTAGATAATTTTTAAATTCCAAAAATGAAAAACTTCGGATTCTAAAGAATTTGATATGAACTGTCAGTCCAGTCATCTAACTAAAGCAGTACATCCTAGCGATCAAAATTAAAAAATATGGTTGATAAAAAGTATTCCAAGGGGAATGTTGGAATATTCAACCTTAACCCAAGTAAAACAAGCACTTGCATGGAAAATGCTAATACCATGATTAAATCAAAGTAATATTGCCTTATATACCTTGGGAACATTCCTTGAACAGGAGATCTTGAAGGAATTGGCACTTCCTGCAGATCCCAATCACTCTCTATTGTTTGATGATAAACTTGGCACCTCCAGAAAGTCTCACAAGTAGCAGTTCCAATCAACCAAATCCGATCATTACTCCCCTCTCCAAACCTCCCCAAAATCTTCCCCATCTCTGCCACAGCCACCCGACCTGCCTCAGAAACCACCTGTTGCTGCACCCCACCAGAAGGTGGAACTCCAAAAGTCACAGGCTGCTCAACAAGCCATTTCAAATCACCCAAATCAATAATAATGCCACCACCGTTAGAATTCCCAATTTTAGTCTCAATTAGCCCTTCCAATTCCTTAATTTTTGAGAGAATTCGAGTTTTATCCAGTACAAGCTCTTTCTCAATTGATATCACCTGAGCATTCTTAAGTGGCCCTTCATTCAATTCCCCTTTCTCAACCCTTCTCAACAATTCCTTTACCACAGCTTCTGGCTCAGCCTCCCCAACCAAAACTGGATTCCTTTTCTTTGTTCTCAACAAAATATCAATTACCCTCTTCACTTCCTCATTCCTTTGATTCCCTGGTTGGCCCGCCGGATTGGCCTGTTGCAACCGGGGATTCAAGTACAAATTCCGATTGGGGATAGGCATTGGAGTTGGATTTGGCCTAAACCCAATTCCTAATGTTGCTTGATTAACATTCCCAAGGCTTGAATTCAAAGATTGCTCAATTATAGCCTTCACAGCTGGACTCGAAAAGCTTGCTTCTCTCATAACTCTACTCACACTCGGGTCATCGAGAATTGAAATAATCAGCTGCTCAAGCTCCACCTTCACAGCTAAAAGAGGCTGTTGCTGCTGTTCAGGACACCCCCGCCGTTGATGAGCTTGTGCACGCTTTAGAGCCGCCATTAAGGCGTTAGAAACCGGCGGTTCCATTGCCGGAGAGATATTTTGGGCCGTTGGCAAACGCTCAAGGGCTACAGAAAAGCAGAGCTCAAGAGCTCGGCACTGAAGAGGGTGTGATGAGTTGGGGTGTGACCGAATACATGCTTGCCGTAGAAACCCCGTCGGAGATGCCAAAAGGGTCGCCGCTACATGAAGCGGCGTCGTCTGGCCGTGATTCCGACGACCCGCCTCGGCGATCGAGTGGTTCAATACACTCGCCGCCTCCGGCGTCAGGGTTTGCTGGATCGTACCCAATCCTGCTCTCATATCCAATAATTCTTCAACTTTCAGAGAAACACGCAGTAACAAATTCAGGCAATTTGAGAAATTCTCAGCTCTTATTCCGTGAATTCAAAGGAAAATAGTGAGGGTGGAGAGAGAATATCTGTATTTTCCTGGAAAATGAATGAGTTTGTAATTTGACATGGTGTTACAAATTCAAAACTGAAGAGAATTCAGTTTACAAGCCATAAAAAGGAAAGTCCAAAGCTATTATTCTAATCTATCACTAAAAGCTAAGCTTTGCTTTGCTTTGCTTTACTTGGTCTCCCTATAGGATCTATATCTACCCCTCTCTCTCTCTCTCTCTCTCTCTCTCTCTCTCTCTCTCTCTCTCTCTCTTCTGTGTTGTGTTTCACACATACAAGAATTCAACGCGCAAAGGAAATATAAAACTTCCTCCATCCATTTTCCCTCTCTCTCTCTCTAGAAAGCTCNCAATTCTCTCAGAGCTGAGGTTATGATGAAAATTAGGATGTAGAGTCGGGCATTTTTCGTTCCATTTCTTCTGCAAATCTTGAGACTTCTGTTTGAAAAGCAATTCTTGCTCCTTGCACTGTAAACNTAAAAGCTAAGCTTTGCTTTGCTTTGCTTTACTTGGTCTCCCTATAGGATCTATATCTACCCCTCTCTCTCTCTCTCTCTNATTCTTGCTCCTTGCACTGTAAACACAGAAATCCAGTGTTCATTGTCTATATTCATATATAATCTGACCCAACATAAAGTACTTCGCAACAACATACCTTCGTCTGATCTGATGTTTTAACAGCAGTACTATTGAGTTTGGCATTTTGCAACCACTGAGGTAGGGGTATTTTAGCTGCTTCTGATTTTACTTCAGAGGATGACTTTTCAAACTCGGCTACAAGTTCTGCTAGCTCTTGTTCATAAGTCTCTGAACATTGTAGGCAACAGTTCACTCTGCGAACATGATCCACGTTGTCAGAAACCCGCCGTGGAAAAGCAGGTGTCGCAGTTGTGAAGCTCTTCAATGGGTGCAAAGACTGAACTGAAGGGCTCATAGTCCCATTCGTCCCCAATCTACAGAGAAACAGTAAAGTTACTGAATGGTACCAAAATAGCAAAAGAACAAACTATTTCGCCTGAAGCTGAACAGTGTTTGATAAACAATAACCAAATCTCCCACTACGGAGGCAGAAAATTACACAATTGTGACCAAAAACACAACTAGAAATGGAAAGGGAAATACCTTCCCAGTATCAAGATATATACTTTAACTTCATCACTCTTCAGCCAAAAAGAAAAAAAGACGAGAGAGAGAGAGAAATAGTAGCTGATATTGGCGATGCCAATTTGAGAAGAGAAGAACCATCTATGCCTTGTACCAAATTAACAGAAATTTCTAAAGCTGGATCAACTATAAATGCATATAACAAATACAAACGAATTTTGGATCCTCTCTTGTACCTATATATCATCCAGTATCAGATCTTCTAAGTCTAGCAAACTGATAAGAAATGTCAATTCGAATCTGTAGAAGAGTGACTTTGTAAAGAACAATTCCAAAAGTAGATAATTTTTAAATTCCAAAAATGAAAAACTTCGGATTCTAAAGAATTTGATATGAACTGTCAGTCCAGTCATCTAACTAAAGCAGTACATCCTAGCGATCAAAATTAAAAAATATGGTTGATAAAAAGTATTCCAAGGGGAATGTTGGAATATTCAACCTTAACCCAAGTAAAACAAGCACTTGCATGGAAAATGCTAATACCATGATTAAATCAAAGTAATATTGCCTTATATACCTTGGGAACATTCCTTGAACAGGAGATCTTGAAGGAATTGGCACTTCCTGCAGATCCCAATCACTCTCTATTGTTTGATGATAAACTTGGCACCTCCAGAAAGTCTCACAAGTAGCAGTTCCAATCAACCAAATCCGATCATTACTCCCCTCTCCAAACCTCCCCAAAATCTTCCCCATCTCTGCCACAGCCACCCGACCTGCCTCAGAAACCACCTGTTGCTGCACCCCACCAGAAGGTGGAACTCCAAAAGTCACAGGCTGCTCAACAAGCCATTTCAAATCACCCAAATCAATAATAATGCCACCACCGTTAGAATTCCCAATTTTAGTCTCAATTAGCCCTTCCAATTCCTTAATTTTTGAGAGAATTCGAGTTTTATCCAGTACAAGCTCTTTCTCAATTGATATCACCTGAGCATTCTTAAGTGGCCCTTCATTCAATTCCCCTTTCTCAACCCTTCTCAACAATTCCTTTACCACAGCTTCTGGCTCAGCCTCCCCAACCAAAACTGGATTCCTTTTCTTTGTTCTCAACAAAATATCAATTACCCTCTTCACTTCCTCATTCCTTTGATTCCCTGGTTGGCCCGCCGGATTGGCCTGTTGCAACCGGGGATTCAAGTACAAATTCCGATTGGGGATAGGCATTGGAGTTGGATTTGGCCTAAACCCAATTCCTAATGTTGCTTGATTAACATTCCCAAGGCTTGAATTCAAAGATTGCTCAATTATAGCCTTCACAGCTGGACTCGAAAAGCTTGCTTCTCTCATAACTCTACTCACACTCGGGTCATCGAGAATTGAAATAATCAGCTGCTCAAGCTCCACCTTCACAGCTAAAAGAGGCTGTTGCTGCTGTTCAGGACACCCCCGCCGTTGATGAGCTTGTGCACGCTTTAGAGCCGCCATTAAGGCGTTAGAAACCGGCGGTTCCATTGCCGGAGAGATATTTTGGGCCGTTGGCAAACGCTCAAGGGCTACAGAAAAGCAGAGCTCAAGAGCTCGGCACTGAAGAGGGTGTGATGAGTTGGGGTGTGACCGAATACATGCTTGCCGTAGAAACCCCGTCGGAGATGCCAAAAGGGTCGCCGCTACATGAAGCGGCGTCGTCTGGCCGTGATTCCGACGACCCGCCTCGGCGATCGAGTGGTTCAATACACTCGCCGCCTCCGGCGTCAGGGTTTGCTGGATCGTACCCAATCCTGCTCTCATATCCAATAATTCTTCAACTTTCAGAGAAACACGCAGTAACAAATTCAGGCAATTTGAGAAATTCTCAGCTCTTATTCCGTGAATTCAAAGGAAAATAGTGAGGGTGGAGAGAGAATATCTGTATTTTCCTGGAAAATGAATGAGTTTGTAATTTGACATGGTGTTACAAATTCAAAACTGAAGAGAATTCAGTTTACAAGCCATAAAAAGGAAAGTCCAAAGCTATTATTCTAATCTATCACTAAAAGCTAAGCTTTGCTTTGCTTTGCTTTACTTGGTCTCCCTATAGGATCTATATCTACCCCTCTCTCTCTCTCTCTCTCTCTCTCTCTCTCTCTCTCTCTCTCTCTCTCTTCTGTGTTGTGTTTCACACATACAAGAATTCAACGCGAAAAGGAAATATAAAACTTCCTCCATCCATTTTCCCTCTCTCTCTCTCTAGAAAGCTCTGTCTTTCTCCCTCTAAATCAACTATTTCTCATTTAAATGAAACCAAAAATATCCAGGAACCAGATGAACAAATTGTCCAATTTCCTCTCTTACTTTCTTCTGTGTTGTGTTTTCACACTAAAAGCTGTCTTCGAATTCAACGCGAAAATGAAAGATCAGACCCCTCCTTCACACAAGCATTTTCTTCCTTCCCATTTCCCCCCTCNCTGTGTTGTGTTTCACACATACAAGAATTCAACGCGAAAAGGAAATATAAAACTTCCTCCATCCATTTTCCCTCTCTCTCTCTCTAGAAAGCTCTGTCTTTCTCCCTCTAAATCAACTATTTCTCATGTAATAGCAACCAAAAATATCCAGGAACCAGATGAACAAATTGTCCAATTTCCTCTCTTACTTTCTTCTGTGTTGTGTTTTCACACTAAAAGCTGTCTTCGAATTCAACGCGAAAATGAAAGATCAGACCCCTCCTTCACACAAGCATTTTCTTCCTTCCCATTTCCCCCCTCCCTCTCTGTCTAAACTATGATATGATAAATCTATTTCTTAGCCAAAAATATCCAAGACCCAGATGAAAATATAGAGTACTAATGTAAAAAAGAACAAAAATTTATTAAAAAATCATCTTTACCCCTGTATACAGCAGGCTACAGTACAAATATAAAGCAAAGGGAATTCTTGCTTATGTGGCCGCGAGGGAAAGTATGGAAAATGGCAAAGGAGAGAGAGAGAGAAGAAAATTTATGGAAAATAGGAAGGCGCCCTTCAGTTGGAAAATACTTTCTTCTTTTTGTGACATCTATTATTTTTTTTCCTAGGTTTTATTTGAATAATATTAGGTTGATTAAAAAAATAGATTAAATAATTTAGTATTATATTATTGATACCTTTGTTCTCATTTTTATTAATTTAATACTCGAAATTTACTTATCATGTCAACGGTAAGATAATGTGGATTATATTTTGTCTTATTTTTTTATTAGTCTCTTGTGTCTGTACATATAGATAATAGACTGAGATAAGTAAACTTTAATTATAAATTCATTAGTAGATTCGGGATATTTTAATTATAATTACCAGTTTTCACACACAAAAAAAGTTATAATTACCCAATTCCCATTCTNCGCCACCCGACCTGCCTCAGAAACCACCTGTTGCTGCACCCCACCAGAAGCTGGAACTCCAAAAGTCACAGGCTGCTCAACAAGCCATTTCAAATCACCCAAATCAATNAGCCACCCGACCTGCCTCAGAAACCACCTGTTGCTGCACCCCACCAGAAGGTGGAACTCCAAAAGTCACAGGCTGCTCAACAAGCCATTTCAAATCACCCAAATCAATAATAATGCCACCACCGTTAGAATTCCCAATTTTAGTCTCAATTAGCCCTTCCAATTCCTTAATTTTTGAGAGAATTCGAGTTTTATCCAGTACAAGCTCTTTCTCAATTGATATCACCCGAGCATTCTTAAGTGGCCCTTCATTCAATTCCCCTTTCTCAACCCTTCTCAACAATTCCTTTACCACAGCTTCTGGCTCAGCCTCCCCAACCAAAACTGGATTCCTTTTCTTTGTTCTCAACAAAATATCAATTACCCTCTTCACTTCCTCATTCCTTTGATTCCCTGGTTGGCCCGCCGGATTGGCCTGTTGCAACCGGGGATTCAAGTACAAATTCCGATTGGGGATAGGCATTGGAGTTGGATTTGGCCTAAACCCAATTCCTAATGTTGCTTGATTAACATTCCCAAGGCTTGAATTCAAAGATTGCTCAATTATAGCCTTCACAGCTGGACTCGAAAAGCTTGCTTCTCTCATAACTCTACTCACACTCGGGTCATCGAGAATTGAAATAATCAGCTGCTCAAGCTCCACCTTCACAGCTAAAAGAGGCTGTTGCTGCTGTTCAGGACACCCCCGCCGTTGATGAGCTTGTGCACGCTTTAGAGCCGCCATTAAGGCGTTAGAAACCGGCGGTTCCATTGCCGGAGAGATATTTTGGGCCGTTGGCAAACGCTCAAGGGCTACAGAAAAGCAGAGCTCAAGAGCTCGGCACTGAAGAGGGTGTGATGAGTTGGGGTGTGACCGAATACATGCTTGCCGTAGAAACCCCGTCGGAGATGCCAAAAGGGTCGCCGCTACATGAAGCGGCGTCGTCTGGCCGTGATNGAGCAAGTAATAAGTGAGGCAATTCTTTCCGGTAATGGATCAGAATCAAATCTCTTTTTTCGAAAACGAAATCGTAACTTATATCGTTCGAAAGACACTTCAACCCTTATGAATAAATAGATAGAATCGTTGTTTCTTTGCATTTACAATAAGCAAGTTCATTAGTACACAACAATCGTTTATAAAAGACAAATAACTTACTTTACTGACGAGCGTGAGAGAGATGCGCTTTATCTTTTAGTTTTGAACTTTTAAGTTGAAAACTTAAAACAATAGGATGTTGCTTATAAGAAGAGAGTCATATATGTTTTTGGTAATCTTTGTTTTATTTTATTTTTGTACGCGTTATATTTAGCCTGAAAATTTCTGTGTTGTGTTGGCATGTTAGGTAGTGAGCCCATGATTATTTTGTATAGAAATTGCAGCAGCTAATGGGGACAAATGGTTAACTTTTGTGTGTTGGGTAGGGGTGTGGGGTGGGGTTAATTAACTTTCAAGCTTTTTCTTCAATACTTTTTGTGAAGTCTTTGGAAACAAAACTCATCATCACATGCCCTTTTGGTAACGCACGCTCTCACTTGCCTTTTACGCGTTTTTTTTTTTTTTTGGACTTCTCCCACCACTACTTTTTCACCCTCCCACTTTATGCTTTCCCATCTATCAAAATGAGTACTTTGCCCAACTATTTTGAAATGGGAGAAAATTCCATGGTATGGTATGAATGTGATAAGAAATATTTATTGTTAATGATCACACCTGTAATTGAAGACACCCTATAAATAGACTAAAGACCACCACACACCTTTTTCAAAACTATCACCACCTAGCATCACTTCCAACCCATCAGAAATAAACTCAATCTAACATAACAGAGACCAAAATCATCAAATGGTGACCAAGTTTCAAAGCCTTCAAAAAAAAAAAAAAATGGAGTTTAGTAGAACCCAAGACATCTTCTTCTACTTCTCTTAGAAGAATGCAAGTAGGGCAAAGTTCATTCATGTTTCATCCAAATTTTTTATTTTTTTGTGCTTTTGATGTACAANTAGAAGAATGCAAGTAAGGCAAAGTTCATTCATGTTTCATCCAAATTTTTTATTTTTTTGTGCTTTTGATGTACAACCTGGGGTGTCATGTGAGACTATTCAGAGCTAGACATTCAAGACATTGAAGATCGAAGTGTTTGATGCAACTCACTTTCTTCTACACGCACAACTGAAGTGTAAAAAAAACATAATAATATGATATAATGACGACAAAAACATTCCAATTTACACAACACCAAGACAATCAATTGATCACATAGTCAAAATAGACCGCTAAATCATACATAGATTTGCNTTGTTTGATGCAACTCACTTTCTTCTACACGCACAACTGAAGTGTGAAAAAAACATAATAATATGATATAATGACGACAAAAACATTCCAATTTACACAACACCAAGACAATCAATTGATCACATAGTCAAAATAGACCGCTAAATCATACATAGATTTGCATTTAACTATTAATCAACCCGAAAATAGTAATGAATCAAGTATGAATTAACTATCGATTGATTAAAGAGTACCTTGCGCAAATCCTCCAAGTAAGCACCACCCAAATCAAACCAAACAATTCCCAACATTCAAGACCACCTGCAAAAAATAAACAACAACAACAACAACAAAAATCAAATCAAAATTTAATTGTATGTCATAGTCTTTATGTAAATAACCAAACTATCAACTATGCACTAAAGAAACTCATTCCCAACCAATCGCATCCACTTCTTAAAAATTCCCGAATAATAAAAATCATTGTCTCTTCAAACTCACCTTATTGCAATCTAACTAGTAGGGGAGTGTTGTGGATGTAATATAATTTGGAGTCAAAATATGAGAAAGAACAAATAACAAAAATTACACAATTTTGTTGATTATATAATTAGCTTAAACTTTTCATGGGCAATTGATCAAGCAACATGGGGAAGCAAATTAATTATAAACTCATTCAAGCCTAGCATTAACATTTTAGATCATATTTAAGATAGACATGCGTCCAGTACCTGAAGGCATTGTTTGCTAAGAATCGAACATCCCAATCTTATCCAATTGAATTCTAACAAAGTCACTTCAAATAATAATTTTTTTTATCAAATTACAGCTTCATTTTTTAACCAAGAATTAAAAAAAATATTTTTCGCCAACTGTTCAACAAAATACAACAAACAACTAATCAAATTCAACAACCAGTAGAGTTCCAACAATTTCAATTCAATCCAATCTCAATTTTATCACTAATTCAATTGATTCAAAAACAAAAAAGGAAGAAAATAACAATGAATTACATAATTTTAGCAATGAAAAAACCAAAAGAGGAAGGGGGGAAAAACTTGAATCATTCACATGTANAGAAGAAAATAACAATGAATTACATAATTAGCAATGAAAAAACCAAAAGAGGAAGGGGGGAAAAACTTGAATCATTCACATGTATAACTTATTTATAAGTATCTTTACCAACATTATAATAAGGCAATGAGAACAAAGTCATACTCACAATATAACCATCTCTCTCAACATTAGCAACCATTTGGATTCGCCACCCTTTCTTGCCTCGATCTTGAGAAACTTCATTCCTTACACTAAAGAAGTAATATTCATCTCAAGTCTTCAAAACCCCAAACACAGTAGAACATGTCAGATGAATCAAGACATCGTGTGAGATCTCTATAAATATAACAAAACACATCATTCCAAGTTGAATAAGAAACAAAATTACATGCATAACGTCATTTGAATGTGAAAATTAAGCTACACATTAGAGAATTTTTTATCTTTTAATAGATACATTCTAAACTTCAGCACTCAATAAAGCAATAAATGGAACAATCAATAAACTCCACAAATCTGACAATTAAGCCCACGGGAAAGGATGTGAAAAAAAAGCCAGAGATTCGTTGATGCTTCTTGTAATGAGCCAGAAACTAAGCACAAAAGCTTCTAAAAGGCAATAGAAAATCAAATTTCATAGCCACACAATCTTCTCCCACCCACATATCGCCTAATTTCAATTTCATCCTAATTTCATGAAATTAACACCCAATTTCATACAATTAACAAAATCCTAACATTCAATTAGATCAAAACACACAAAACCCTAACATGAACAAAATCCAACATTCAAATTTCATCAAAATAATCATACAATTAACAAACCCTACAAATCTAGTTTCATGTAATGCTCCGGTTTTCCAAGGGCGTTACTTAATTAATAAATTAATCGACACAATTCCACAATATATTTCTAATATATTTCTGAATATAGGGTCAAAACTCTAATTATCTTGAAGACAAAGATAATCTTCAAAATATACAAATAAATCTTCTCAAATAGTATATTACAACAATAAAATCAAAAGTTATAAATCTGTAATTTTTTGACATCTCAAACTCTGGTCCTTTCTTTGGAGATCATCTTAAAAAATATTANTTCTAATATATTTCTGAATATAGGGTCAAAACTCTAATTATCTTGAAGACAAAGATAATCTTCAAAATATTCAAATAAATCTTCTCAAATAGTATATTACAACAATAAAATTAAAAGTTATAAATCTGTAATTTTTTGACATCTCAAACTCTGGTCCTTTCTTTGGAGATCATCTTAAAAAATATTAGAAGCGAGGAAGTATACAATATGACAGGAAATAATATGTTCAACGATAAAAAAAATATGAGTGATCAAATAGTAAATAACTTAGACGATAAGAAACATAAACAACATAATCATCAATCAAATTGGACATGTCACATAGCTCAACTAACCTTATACTTGATTCATTTTGGTGACATGACAAGTTATACTTAGACATATAAATTTATACTCATACAGAATAATCACACCTCATAGTACCACAAATCACACCGTGCAGGGCGTAATNGTTCAACGATAAAAAAATATGAGTGATCAAATACTAAATAACTTAGACGATAAGAAACATAAACAACATAATCATCAATCAAATTGGACATGTCACATAGCTCAACTAACCTTATACTTGGTTCATTTTGGTGACATGACAAGTTATACTTAGACATATAAATTTATACTCATACAGAATAATCACACCTCATAGTACCACAAATCACACCGTGCAGGGCGTAATCATATTTCACAAATTGTGATTCAAGCACACTTCATATATGTACCAATCAATTCATAAGTATTTAGCCAACAATATAGGTCAACTCAATAAAGTTTTAGAATTTTATATCAACCAAAAATAATCAATAAGAATATAAATTTTAATAATCAAATGACACTATTTACAAAAACATTTAAAAGACAATAGTATATTACATATTACCTCGTCCCTAAACCTAATCAATANGTTCATTTTGGTGACATGACAAGTTATACTTAGACATATAAATTTATACTCATACAGAATAATCATACCTCATAGTACCACAAATCACACCGTGTAGGGCATAATCATATTTCACAAATTGTGATTCAAGCACACTTCATATATGTACCAATCAATTCATAAGTATTTAGCCAACAATATAGGTCAACTCAATAAAGTTTTAGAATTTTATATCAAGCAAAAATAATCAATAAGAATATAAATTTTAATAATCAAATGACACTATTTACAAAAACATTTAAAAGACAATAGTATATTACATATTACCTCGTCCCTAAACCTAATCAATAACTCCAATTGATTTGGGATTTGGAATACCACGAAAGTAACATCAGATACCCTTTGTTCATATAGTACATTAACACCAAATCATATACATAACGGATGATTTGATACGCATAATTTTATTCGTAACATAATAGTCCCCAAACTTTTCAAAATATGGCAGTATAACTAATCAAATTCTTAGGAAAATATTATGGGTAATGTTATGGTTTCCAAAAGTTTTTATTAAATCTCTATTCCAAATGATGTGGCATAATTTTTTACTATCAGATAAATAAGTCCTATTAATATGCAATGACATAAATTATATCACATCTATATAATAAAGTACAATATAATTCAAATTTTAAAAGATAAATAAAATAACTTTTATTTTTCGCGGTTAAGATCTTTTTAAGTTTTACTTTAAAGTTAATTTGACAGTCAATATTAACACCCTAAATTTAATAGAAAAATAAGAAAAGTGTATTTAGAGTGATTTTTTAAAAGTGTTTCTAAAACTTATAATTTCTCTTAAGTATTTTTTTAAAAAAATAGTGTTTAGAACTATCCTATTACCACTGTCACTACTACCACTCCCATCGCCCCACCACCAACGCCAACCCACCACCATAACCACTCCCACCACCACATCTACCACAACAACCAACACCACCACCACCCCCACACCACAACTACTCCCACCCCCACACCATAACTACCCTCACCCCCATCGCCCCACCACCACTATCATCACTACCACCACAGTCGCCGCCACCCCTAGCATTGCCATTGCCCCACCACCACCACCTCCATCGCCCCACCGCCACTCCCACCACAACCATCGTCACCCACCACCGATTACTACCACCGTCATTCATCGTCACTACTCACTACCATCTTTATTTCAATCTTATATTTATTATCACTACCACCATTAGCGTCGTCCACCGTCTGCATCCACTACAACCTATTGGCCCCCACCATCGCCGCCAACCACTATCACTCACCCACACCACACCTACCATCATTTGTCATTGTCTATCATTGTCACCACCCACTATCATCCATCCACACTACACTTGCCACCACCACCATCCATCGTCGTTGGTTACCACCCATCACACTGTCCCTCGGAAGCACCCGTCATTGTCTATTACCAGCATTGTCACCATCCACCACCACAACGGTCAACCATTATCATCGTTGCTCACCACCACCACCGTCATCACTCATGATTGTCACTCCCATCAGTGTTGCCACCCACCGTAACCATCACCATCACCATCTTCCGCCACCACTACCAACGTTCATCCTCAGTACAATTGGCACTTAAATTTCTTTCTCTCTCTTTTATGTCCGTGATTTGATTTTAAGTGTAAATATAAATATGTTTATTATTATTATTATTTTATTATCCTATATATTCAGACACGAATAATAACTAATTATTTAATATAAAATATTTGATAATTTTTCGTTGATAAACATAACATTTTCTCAATATTATATATATGAAGAGGCGGTCACTATCGGTTAGATCAGATGAAAAATTACTTTTTGACGAGAAAGAGAATACGACGCGTGAATCCTCATAGTCTTTTTCCGTTTCGACGACCAAGAAAAAGCTGAAAGTTGTTGAAAAGAAGAGAGAGAGAGAGAGAGATTTGACTGTCAACTTTTTACATTTATTACCTTTTACGTATCTTCGCTTTGTGCTACTTTATGACAAGTTCTTATCACCTTCCACTACAAAAGTTTAAATCACTAAAATGCCCCGTCTACTTACCAAAATCTGTAAAAACAAAAAATCATTAGTTTTTTGTTTACTAAAACTAAAGCAATCTCTCTTCTAGTTTTTGTGTGTATTTTTTTTTTTTTTT